CTCTACCCCCATGTATATTTATGCAAATTTGGGGTTCCCCAAGCATGCTGATACTTTTCTCTTGGTCCTCAGTACCGTCTTTCAGATCCACAACTGTCATAGTCCACACCTGACTTCACTATTAGGATATCTCAAAGTTGAGTAAAAATTATTTTTTGTGTTCCACATCAAGTTGGCTATGAAGCCAAATGTTTATTTCTTAACACCCCACAAGGATCTGTGAACGTCATGTTTATAAAAGGCAACAAGGTAATAAATAGCAAAAATGAACATCACTGTAACGTAATAAGGTAGGGTCATAAGTTCAAAATTGCAAAAAAACAAAGTAAGTATTATACTGCCTCTTTAACCTAAGCAGAGCCTTCCTTGCCTTTGAAATCATGGCTGTCTTAGTGGTCCAAGAATATCTTCACAAATCAATGTGGAGAGCACTCAGATGAATAATGGCGCTGTTTGGAAATGTGGTTTTAAGACGTCTCTGGTGCACAAACTTCTGTTTAGGTAATTAAAAAGGAAGGGGAAATGTATGTTTACATTATCCACAGGATATATGTGATTTTAACCTTTAAGTCATTCTGTTAAAACAAACAGTACATTAAAATGGAAATTTCCCCAGAGTTGCTGATTTGCGAAGTGAAATAATGAACTTCATATCCCTTGTTTATTCATTCTTCTTGTTTCCATTTAAACGACAATAATGCTTTTTGCTTTTAATGATCATTTGGTTGTATTATGTGTGTTTTTTTCAAAAAAACTAAAAGCTGAGCTACATGGATTATGCCACAAGTGCAACTAATACCTACCGTTAGCATTTTCATATATTTGCAGGAGAAAGAACTTAGTGTGGCACATGCCATGTCACAAAACAGCTTCCTTTTTCCAGAAACCCAGATTGCCATGAAGCCTGCTACATGTACAAAGCACCCACAGAGGTTAACAAGGACTGAGATTTAATTTTTAAATACATACCCTCCAACACTCCTCAGATGAAAATAGACATTTCTCACTCCCGCAACTGACTTTCCTCAATCCCCAATTTTTGTCCCCTCCCCACCGCAGAGCATTTCCTCTCAGAAGAAGGGTGAATCCCACACCACTTCCCCAATGGGACACAGCCCACACGCCCTCCACCAACCTAAGAAAACCCCTTAATCCTGATTTTATTTTATTCTTTTTAGAAAAGAGCAAGATTAGAAGCAGACACCCAAATTTATTTATTTATTTTTTAAAAAATCAAGTCTCCTTGAGCTCCCCTCCGCTTCCCCTTTCCTCCTGCCCAGGGTGCCCTTGCCCTCTGCCTGCCCCTCAGAGCTGGAGCATCATACAGGGCTGGGTCTTGGCGGAGGCAGCTTCTCTTCCTCCTTGCCTGCTCTCCAGCAGCCACTACAAGCTGCCCAAGGGAGGAGGCCAGCAGCAGCCATGGACAGGCATCAGGATGTTCCCTCTCTCCTGCTGTCACTTGAGACAAGCACCGGCTCTCCTACTTCTCAATCTTGGAGGCAGCAGCACTGGCAGAGGAAATGGAGACATTCTAGGATCAAATCGGAAGCTGGGATTGCTTTCGTAATTCTGGAACTGTCCCTGGAAAATCAGGACACCTGGAGTGTATGCAAATACTTAAAAAACAAACAAACCACCACATCCTGGCAGAGTCCTAACCCCATTCTAACCCTGCCATATATAATGCCTAGCTAGAGCTTAGATCTCAGGTTATTGTTATTATATTGCTAACTGTTGGCCACCCACCAGGGCTGCTCTAAAAGGTTCTAGAGGATAAGTCTTTGGTGGCATCTAATCATGATGGCTATATTACCTCCAATATCAGGGACAGGATGTCCTTGAATACCAGTTGCTGCAGATCATGAGTGAGAAAAACCCTGTTCCCATAGGCATCTGACTGGCCAACGTGATAACATAATGCTGGACTAGATGGGCCTGTGATCTGATTCAACAGAATTCTTATGTTCTTATGATTCTTTGAAAAGCATCGATTGTAGCATTCTTTCTGTAGTAGTGGTCTCATGGGAGCACAGCCTGGCTCAGACATGAATTCCCTGGAGTTCTCGGAGGACAGCTGAGTTTTTAAGACCCCTTTGCATCTTCTAAATCCTTCTGCAGCTCAGATCAGTATCCAAGCCACCCAAAGGGCTCTCACTCCATTCTAAAACACCTTCCCCATTTACTTATCTTTAATTCAGGGCAGAACACTGGAGCCAGGGTGGTGTAGTGGTTAACAGCAGTGGACTCGTAATCTGGTGAACTGGGTTTGGTTCCCTGCTCCTCCACATGCAGCTGCTGGGTGACCTTGGGCTAGTCACACTTCTTTGAAGTCTCTCAGCCCCACTCACCTCACAGAGTGTTTGTTGGGGGGGGGGGGGAGAAAGGAGATTGTTAGCCGCTTAGAGACTCCTTAGGGTAGAGATAAAGCAGGATATCAAATCCAAACTCTTCTCTTCTTCTACTTCCAGCACTGTGGATTATTTTCTTTGCCTTAACTCCTCCCCCCACCCCTACCCCCACCCCCGTCACCCTCACACACTGTAGAGTGTCCCTACAGAGTTGTGATCCTGGTAATAATTAGTGCCATTTTTTTAAAGAAAAAGGTGGTAGAACTCTTCATGAACATCTCCCTCGTTCTCTTAGAATGGCAATGGCACCCACCTGAGAGGTGCCAGAACTGAGTTCCAGTGAGTTCCTGCTGAAATAAGTCCTGGTGATAATCAGTGCTACTGCTGTGTACGGTCCTGAATTAAAGCAAAAGGGGCAGGGCCCACCCAAATATTAGGCACATTGAGGCAGCCACCTCAGGTAGCAGATGTTGTGGGGCAGCTGTTGCAGCACCTCCTGAGCCACCTGCACATTTGCTTGTGTCAGAGGTCAGAGATTTGTGTGGTCTGCTGAGTACCCCCTATACCAAATTGCTACCTTCACATCACCAGGTATTGAAGTATGATTCCAACCTGCCAATCTAGTCCTCTTCTTACCTGGACTGAGAAGAGCATATTATCCTTCGTCTTTGGGAGCAAAATGTATTGGGCTTGCCCTGAAAGTGGCTGGGTGAGAAGTATGCTTTAGAAATGGGGGGGATGGGGGGGCCCCCATTCATTTTCCAAGCCCCCTGGATTAGGGGCAAGAAACAAGTAGAATTCTTTCCATATTGTGGGTAGATGGGAGAGAAATCCACTGGTTTGCTGGTGAATCTGTGGAAATATTAGGCAATTTCATCCATCCTTGACATTTTGGCACATTCACACATGTGTATTTACTGCTTGATGGCTGCAAAATCAACTGAAAACTTACATACGCAGACTGTAATCAAGCAATGCATTTGTGTGACACATAATTGTCCCTCACAAAGCAATTGCACAGGGCACATTTCCAACATCTCAATTTTCACAACTGCTCAATAACCACTCTTTTATTTTCATTAGGAATTCTGTCTCTCTGTGCCTATAAGGGCAGAACGCAGACCTGACCAGCAAGCAACAGCAACTAATGTATTGTGGGCCTGCTAATGCCTTTCATCCGATAGGAAAGCAGCAAGAAAACAACTTATCAGCAAAATACTGACATGCGTCAAAATGATGATGGGGAAAGTACTCAGGAAGACCTTTCAGAAGATAAATATTCTGACGAATGTATTGATTTTAGCCTTGCAGAGCCATGTTGAAAAGGTGTATAAGACTTAACTGGAAATTGAAAAATGATATTGAAAAACATCAAAAAGTCATTTCAGACAACTGGGAAAAGGTTCTCCATATTTGTTTTCTTCAAACATTTAAAATTCCATCATATATACTTGCATTTCATGTTATTATCCCCCCATCCCACCCTGATAGAAATTCCAATTCAACAATTGGCAATAGCCCTTATAGTCTGATCCCCCTATCTTTATGATTAACCAGAACACTGTAGTGAAACTAAATTTTCATTTACATTTAATTCATGGGAGCAGGGAGAAGGAGACAGATTGAGAAGCACTTTGAGGCTTCTCATTTCCTGCAAGGTGAGTGAGAAGACTCAACCATTTCATAGCATCTTCTGAGTAAACTAGCTGGACCAGAGAGCAACACACAGCACGTTGTAATAGCAATGTCACATAGGAGCCATGTTGTCAAGGCTGCCTCAAGTCTTAGCTCACAAAAGACCAACGCCTCTGTCTTCTTATATACAAAAGTGTTTATTGCAGTTCATGGTTTGCTTGACATCCTAGGCGCGCAGCCTTACGTCTTTTACGCTAGACCGCCGAAGTCCCCTCTGAGTCAGATCCTTTCCTGCACCAATTTAAGAGACTTGCGCTGCTCCACCTCTTTCTCTCCTTCCTTTTCCGCAGGGTCCTTCTGCCCACTGGGGTTTCGCCCCTCCTGGATTCCTCTGATGCGGAATCCCCAGACTGCTCTCCCCCCTCCTGCGGGCTTTGGGACCTGGCCCCTCCTCCGGGCTCCCTGCACTTCCGCGCGCCTCTACATTTGAACTAGGCGCGCGCGCCAAACCTCTAACTTTCCTTTTGACAGTTACACTACTCCCTTCACTGCTCCCCTCCTTCCGGGAGGGCGGCTTGCTCTGACCCCTCCTTTCTCTGCTGCTGGAGCTGCTTCCTCTGACACACTGGAAACTCCACCCCTTCGCTGCACTCTGGTGGGGAGGCTGGTCCTGACGCCCAGCTGCCACTTTGGGATCTTCCGCTGGCACCCTGCTCCTGACACTTCCCCTGGGGCTCCCCTGGCCTTGACCACCGGCGGCCCCTTCTGGGAATCCTCTGATTCGCTGGAAAGACTCATGGAATCTCTTGAGTCATTGTCATCCTCTTCCTCGCTGGCTTGGAATTCCTCCCCATCGCTCTCCATCTCCTGCCTACCCTGTGCCTCTCTCCCTGAACCCCTGACACATGTATTTGTTGATTTAGGCTGTATGGTTCCAGATACTGCAGTTTATATAGGCCATTGCAAATTAAAATTAAAACCACAATAATGATCTTGCTGGATGATCAGTCTTGTGGAGGAAGTGTAACTCAGTGGCAGAGCATGTGCTTTACATTCAGAGAGTCTCAGGTTCAATCTCTGGTATCTCCAGGTAGGACAAAGGAATGCTCCTTTCTAAAAACCTGAAGAACTGCTACCTATCCATGTAAACAATATTGAGCTAGACAATATAAGTCAGCTTTCAAAGTTCATGTGCTCATCTAACCCAGCATTGTGTTTCCAACAGGACTCAATCAGATGCCTTTGGGAAGGTGATGTTCCCTCATCTGTGCCCTCATTCTGCACCAATGTAGCTCACATTTTGCACCAAGAAAGACTGGATTTCCAAATGCTTCTTTTGACTGTTCTGCTGATATGTTCTGCATTTTCTCGAGGGGCATGAAGCTAAGAGGTTATGGAGGCCACTAAAGACCAAATTTCAACTAAAAATATTGTGGAAGTATTGTGTTTGGCTTCTGAAAATTCCTCAAACATTTATTACAAATCTTATTTCCTCAAAAGTATGAATAGTTTTTAATAATAATGGTGCTGAATTATGCTTTCTGTATTGTATTGTACTGTAGGTAGTTCAGTTCTACCTATGTGATAGAACTGTGGAATCCTGGAATACTAACATGCCTAACCTTAACCACAAAAGTCAAATCTTTAAGCAACCATTCTAAATCCATTTCTTTGCTTTAAAGCTTCAGAAATAAGCAAGAAAGCCTCTCTTGCCATTATATTTTATTGTTTATTATTCAATTTTCACTGCAGTCACTCACTTACCTGGGCATAAGTCTCTTTGAAAGGAAACATACTTCTAAAAAGGTATGTATGAGTTTGCACTGTAGGTTTTCAAATCAATTGCTTTTATTTTTAGAATATTTTAATAGCAAGTACATGAATTACTGTTTAAAATACTCCACAGAAGAAAAAAGTAAGCAAACAATTCCCTATAACCATACACATTTCTAAGAAATAATTCCAATAGTGTGTAACATTATAATTCCTCTCAGAAATGACCAGCAAACAGCTAATCTTTATTATGCCAGCTAATGGTTTGTATCTGACAAGAGTCAGCACAAAAGGAACAGATCAGCAAAGTTTTGACATGAGTCAAATGGTTATTAGGTAGGTAATGGATTACAAATGGCTAAAAGACACTTAAAACCCCAATGTTAATCGCATTTATTTGAAAGTAAGTCAAATTGATTGTATCTACATAAACATACTTAGACTACACTGCAATTCTATACATACTAAACGCGGGAATAAGCTGCATTGACCACAGTAGGGCTTACAGTAAATGTGTACAGAACTGGGCTATGAGTATCAAAACCTAAGCTTACAATTCTGTTCACCATCAATGTGTGGAAGTTCCATTAATGTGAACAAGATTTAATTGCAAGTAGCAATAGGAAGAATAATGGCACAGTTTTTATATATAATCATTGCATCAGTGCTGGATTCAGGCCAGTGTGGGTAGTTCCCCCGCATGGGGTACTGAACTGAGGGAGCACAAAATAATATTATTAATAATAATAATAATAATATTCATACAGGTACCTGCCGAGAAGATCCATTTAAAAAGCAACCATACCAAAAGGCATTATTGTGAAAATAAGAAATATTTAGGGCACCAAATTTTGTACTCACTCAGGGTGCCCTATTAGCAAAGCCCACCCCAACATTAGGTTTTATACCTTACTTACATATAAACAAATGTTCAGAGCAAGCAAATTCTAAGAACCAGAGTCAGGGTTGGGAAAACTAAGGCCTTTTGACTGGTGCCATATCAACTCCATATCCAGCATTACTCAGCATTATAAGGCCCTGTCAAAACATGCATATTCATGCCTTGTATGTGCTAAGGAACCATCATAGATCAGACACCACAAATAGAAGCCTCATATTAAGTACCGGTATATCATTTCCCATCCGTCATGGATCACTGCCTTGCCGTGGTTAAGGGGTTTGAATAACTCAGAGAAGCTATGTGCTATGCCGTGCAGGGTCACCCAAGATGGACAGGTCATAGTGGAGAGTTTTGACCAAACGTGATCCACATGGAGCAGGAACCGGCAAGCCACTCCAGTATCCCTGCCAAGAAAACTCCGTGGACAAAGACAACAGGCATATAAAAGTTATGACGCTGGAAGATGAGCCCCTCAGGTCGGAAGGCGTCCAACATGCTACTGAGGAAGAGCAGAGGACAAGTACAAGTAGATTCAGAGCTGATGAAGCGGCTGGGCCAAAGCCGAAAGGTCACTCAGTTGCGGATATGCCTGGAAGCGAAAGGAAAGTCCAATGCTGTAAAGAAAAATATTGCATAGGAACCTGGAATGTAAGAACCATGAACCTTGGTAAGCTGGATGTGGTAAAAAATGAGATGGCAAGAATAAATATTGACATTTTGCATCCCCCCCCAGCATGGAACCCGGACCCCCCTTTGTACGCCCCTGTGTGTGGGGAGCTGGCAGCCCCTTTGGTTGGCACTGTGTGGCCCTGTGTCCCACAACTGTTCTAAAGGTAAACAACTATTTCCTTAAAAACAGCCAACAACTTTGGCCAACAACACTGGGCAACCTAGGGGCGCTGGGTGGATCTTTGCACCCCGGTGCTGCATATGCTTAAGACGGCCCAGTGAATGAGCTCAGTAGAAGGCAGTTCTCTCCTCCTGTTCTGCTTAGAGTGTCTCCTTCTTTCTTCTTTACAGAATGTAGTTTCAAGGATGGGACTGGGGCAATGACAAGAAGATCGTCACCTCCACTTGGGTTGACTGTGGTCTCCTCATACTGCAGGGTCTTCCATTTTACAGAGTGTACATTCAAGAAGGGGGGGGGAAGTGCCCTGCTGCAGGAATTCCTTTCCTCTTCTTAGATGGCATTTTTGAGGGACGGGCAAGGACAGTGCCATTCTGTTTTGTCACCCAATATGAAATGGGAAGGTGCCGCCCCAACTCATCACCGCCCAAGCCTCCCTTTTTACATATATAATAATTTTTATTTGATTTTACAAATATAGAATTATAACAATCCAAATTACATATCCCTACTTAGAGATTTCTCCAAATCTCTGGACTTCCCACCTTCCCCTCCAGGGATCCTATTGTCCACCTTCTCAAATGCATATTATTTCATAGTCCATATTTTATATCTTTCCATATTATCCATAATATTTGCTACATTACAAGTGTTATTAAAATCCTCCTAAGTTTTGTCATTTTGGCATAGTCCAACAGCTTGGTTTGCCATTCCTCTCTGGTAGGGACTTTGTCTTCTTTCCATCTCTGGGCTAGTAGCATCCGCATTGCTGTTGTGACATACATGAAAAGTCTTTTCTGCTCCTTTGGAATGTCGGTACCTACAATTCCTAATAAAAGGCTTCTGGGTTTGTTTGTTTGTTTTTACAAAAGTTATTTTAAACATTTTTTTCCAATTCATTATACCGTATTTTTCGCTCCATAAGACGCACCTGACCATAACACACCTAGTTTTCAGAGGAGGAAAACAAGAAAAAAAATATTCTGAACGAAACAGTGAATGTATGATTTTTGTGGTTCATGCTGTGGCCACAGACATGATATGTTATTTGACGGGGAGTTTGGAGTAGCCCAATGCAAAAATCCTGAGAATCCATGTGGGTCCGTGCTTTGTAACCACGTTTTTGCATCATTGCGGCTCCACGAAACAGTGGGTGCATGGTTTTCTTGGTGCAGGCTGTAGCCATGGACATGTTATGTGATCAGATGTTGAATTTGGGGTGACCCAGTGCAAAAATCCTGAGGATCCATGTGCTTTTACCTGCCCCCTCCCAGGCAGCCTCCTTTATCGCTAGAGTCCCTTATCTCCCCTCCCGATCATTAGCTGATCAACACCCCCTTCCCTCTTTCTAAAAATAAAAAAAGCACGATCTGCTTTTTGCCCCTGGGCAATTCAGCTCCAAGGACCATGCATTCGCTCCATAAGACGCGCAGACATTTCCCCTTACTTTTTAGGAGGAAAAAAGTGTGTCTTGTGGAGCGAAAAATACAGTATATCATTTCCCAGAATGCTTTTAGAACCTTACAGGTCCACCACATATGATAGAAGGTGCCTTCCTTTTGCTTACATTTCCAGCAGATATTTGCACTTGTCTTATACATTTTTGCAAGCTTACTAGGAGTCAAATACCACCGGTACATCATTTCTGTATAATTTTCTTTCAGCGTACAACATGCTGAGAATTTCACCACCGCCCAAGCCTCCCTTACCTGGATTGTGCAGCGGTGCCTGGCAGCAACAATGGCAGTTTCTGGTGAGATCTTGTGAGATCTCACTGAGCTCTTGCAAGATCTTACAGAGCTCATGAGATCTCGTGAGATTTCAGGAAGATCTCACAAGATCTTGCTAGCCTAATACTGCTATTAAACCAACTAGATTTAGTAGGATTATGCATAGGGTTTCCATGTTGGGTTGCAGCTAGCACTGTCGGCAGGGTAAGGTCCTGGCACTTACATGACCTCCCACTACTGACACTGCTGGTGCTGGCAGGGTTGAGTAAGGTTGGCACAGTGCAAACATACCGGTGCAGCCAAACTGGTACTCATGCCAGTGTGTTCACACCACATCAACTTCACCTCCTTCCTCCTCTACCTTCTTGTAAGCCACAGTGATGTCAGCACTGGGAGATATGCTAAGTGCCTCCCCCCACCAAATGCTACTGGTTGTGGGTGGCCTATGATTTTAAAAGATTCCACCTTCTGCCCAAGTAGTGTTTTCAAGTGGCCATTGTAGCTGTGCTATGAACAGCAACTCGACATGCAGACCCAGATTTGGGGACAGGCCAGGGTTGGAAAGAGGAAGGAAAGTCCCATTGCAGAAGTGGAAGTTGCTCTGCTCATGAACTTATTCCGCCAGATACTACCTATAATCCTGATCTCAAACAGGCCAGGCAGTCTTGTTGACTTTTTCCAGACCAATTGGCAGCAAGATTCTGCTGCCAAAATAGGTCTTCCTTGCCTGGGCAGGCCATCAGCCAAAACAGTTATGGTTTTTGCATTTGCACCCCCAACTTGTAACATTATAGCATGCTTGGTGTCCCCAGGGTTCATGCACTTAGAAGAACATTAG